TTAACTATGAAATTAAAAGTTTTTAATATATAAATCAAGTATGCAAATATATATATATAGAGAGAGAGAGGGAGGGAGAGAGAGAGAGGGAGGGAGGGAGAGAGAGGAGTATCAACTTTACTTAAAAACTCATGTTCTATATCAAATTTTAATGATTCAATCATTAAATTAAAAGTTTTTAATATATAGATCAAGTTTGTAAACTTTTTCAAAATAAAAAATAAAACTATACAATACTCTATTTCATTAATTTAAATCAAAGTATAAAATACTTTTATGATTATCAAATAATTTTAAAATTTTTTAAAACTTTGCAGACTTAATCTATATATATTAAAAAAAATTAATTTAATGGTTAAATCATTAAAATTTAACGTAGAATATAAATTATTGAGTAAAATAAATCTAAATAACTCTCAAAATAAGTTGAACCCTCCTTTTTTTTTCCTCTCTCTCTCTATCTATCTATTTATTTATTTATCTATATATAGATATATAAATACCAATTTTTATAACTTAAAATAAATTACTTAAATACTTCTCACAATTTCGTGAGCCAAATACTTTTTGCTTTTGATACACTTAAAATAATTTCTCTTAATTACTTGAAAAAATTACATTAAGATGTGTTAAAATCATATTAGCCTTTTTTAATTATTTAAAAATATTACACTATAATCAACTACTTGTAAAGAAGGTTTCCGTAAACAATTAAAAAAAACAATAAAAAAATGTGCAATTTCACACCACTTTCATTTTAGTGTCGTTTATAATGTACTCTATAATTTAATGAAATAGAGCTCAAATAAAATATTAGTTCATTAGAAAAACACTATATATAACTTAAGCATTACATTTAAATTCTTATTCTACTCAAGCACACTCATATGAAGTACCCAAGCAAGACATCGTCTGTAAACCAGAAAGAAATAAACGATCACCATAGCTACTAGACAAAGATTTAAGCAATAAGACCAGAGAGAAAAATAAATATTTGTAGGACCCTCAGCGCAATGAGTTGTGTAATCTGATAGTACCCCTCATGCGGATACTCTATATTGCACTCCAACCAGAATGCATATCAGAGTTGTCGCATCCAAGACAGTAATATATATGCTGCAGAACAATAAGAACCAGAGAACTATATTTGCTTCTGAAGCGTAACAGATGATTTGTTTGTGGTGGAATTGAGGTCCTCTTTTGAGAGCAAAATTTAATGGCTTATAAACAAAAGAAAGGATCACCCTGCCGCCATTCATCATCAATGATATTGCTCAAGATTTGATTCTCTATATACCATCATTAACTTTTTATATATATATATAAAATAAAGGGTGTACTTCTTACCACCTCGTCCAATTTTTAGAAATAATGTGATACTTTTAATTGCAACTTATGTTTAAGAAATATTAAGAAAAATACTAGAGATTAGACTATTAGATACTATATGAGTAAAAAATAACTCTTATCTTACAAGTCAATTTTGTAGAATTGAGATAAATTTAAATTCATTATTCTAAGGTGATATCAGAACTGGACGTGAGAGGAATGAATTATGGTCAAATCCACTATTTCTAAGAAAAAACTTTACTCAAATTAGTTAAGAGTTATAGTTGTCAAATGACTTTTATTAATGATCTTTGATTATATCATAATTAACTGGCTCTAGCTTGATGTTCCCACTAGGGTTTGTTGTCTTTATCTGTCAACTTGGATCAACAAGAGATCTAGCATGAATCGAAACAGCATAATCCAGCCACTCGGGTAATGCTTTGTGGTGCAACCAAAAACAATTAGTAGCAGACATAATCAGTAAGAAACTGAAAATAAACATGTCAAGGCCTCAGGAACATGTTTTATATGAGATACTATGCAGAGCACGAGCATTAGACCATATACTCGGAAACATGTTGACCAAATGGAAATATCGCACTCACTCTCCCTCAACAACTCACTACACTAAAGCCTAAATTAAAGGCTATGGTCTAAACATCACATGTACTACAACTAGAGCAGCCTACCATAGTACATGTTTATCAGTGTTGGTTTTTGCAAATGTGAGAAGTACTAGCCTACTAGGAATAATTTCTGACGTTATCTTTTATTGATTAAAATTATTACAAATTATAAAATTATGAATGAGACTAACCAATAAGTAAAGCTTAATTTTTTTTATTTTTGTGTGATTTTTAATAAATTTTAACTAATAATAAAAACGTATTTAAAAATGTGTTATTAGATATTGATAATATTTATTGATCACTTTTAATTTTTCTTGGTAATCATGTTATTAATATGTAGTATTCATTGATTTTGTAAATGACTAATTTGTTTTAAAAAAAAATAATTAATTACTTTTAGTAAAATCTCTCATTCTAAATCTTAAACTGATTAATCACTTCGAAATTGCTATTGTGGCATCTTAGGAATAACTTCATTTCTGTTCATTGTAATTTTAGTTACTAATATGACATTCTTTGAAGTAGGAACAAAGAAATTTTTAGAGTTCCACATTTTTTGTGGATGAAGTAAATGTTGGGATTTCATAGGATAAATATTTTAAAAAAAAATTTTATTAAAAGATCATATAAGTGGAATAACTCATTTTTCACGCACTACTGAAAACTATACTAAAAGTTTAGGATTTTTATATTTGGAGCGTAATTTAAGAATTTTCATTAAAAAAATCTTTGTTTGGATGAGAGAGTAACAATCCATTGATCACCAAGAACAAAAAAAATGGTGCATCTACTCAGTCAGCATGAGTAACATTGCAGTGAGTTTTGATGCTAGTCATAGAGAGAAAAGCAATCTTGTAAGATGACACAACCTTAATTTTCACTTTCAAACACAAATAAATCCAATATCTCATATAGGCTAATTCTCACGTGGTCACAGATATTTCATGTCTCACTTTATCAAGAAGCCTAAGACATAACTCTCATCATATAGGAGTGATGAATCCATTCTACATCACTCACATTCCTCCATGTGACTTCAAGTCGAAGAATTACTTTATTATGGTTGCCAAGAAAAACACTAGTGACACTTGCATAATTATTATGAAACTTCCTTATAGTGGATCTATCTAATATAAATACTACTTCAACATTTATACATGTGTGTATCTGACTCAATATCTCATATGCATGACCTATGAGATGTGGTCATCATCCAACTTATGTAATAATATCAATGTATTATTGTCATTTTAGTTAACACTAATTTAAGAATAATGTTCTTTGTTCGAATAATTTCACAATCAAATCACACTTAATATACTTTTAAATGAATAATTTATTATAAAGACGTGATTATGCTAAAGTGACACAATAACTAAAATGATTAAAATATTTGTATATCCAAGTTATGATACAGAAAAAGAATTGACCATTAGAGTTAATTATAATCGTAAACGTACGCACATTATTAATTTTTTAATCCATATTCTTGTATTATGTATATATTTTACTGCGATACACAATTTATTTGTTGTCGTAAATTTTGTTTTGCTATTCATAGTATAGGACCATATACATTCAAAATGTTTAATTTACTTCGTCTTCTCTCTCTCTGTAGGGCAATTCAATAAATATTGAAACCAGGCCGAACGACAAAATGGTTGGGGGGTTCATGCCCAGTTACAAATTTTCAGGCTGCATTCAAAGCATAACGAGGCCCATGCAGTTTTTTCCAAAGCTCTCATACAGCTAGAAGTCTAGAACACTAGCAAACCTTGCTTAATGTATTTTACGCCAAGGATTCTATAAAAAGAAAAAATTACAATAACATCACTTTTTCGCACCTTAATTTATTTATTTATGAGGTACTAACGTGATACTTTATTAGTGTGTGTTTGCATTCACTTTTTAAAGTGATTTTTCACGTTTAATTTGAAGTGAACAATATTAGCTTTCATGTAAATCAGACATTTAAACATGGAGAGAGAAAAAGAAATTGCATTAAAGAGTCTATATCAAACATACTAAATAAATAATCTTCTAGTTCTCTAAAGTTTTTGCAATGCAGAAATTAAAACAGAGTTATCAATTTGGTGGACTATTTCTGAGACATCTGGTTGATTTAATAAGATATGATTTGTTGGTTTTCCAATTAACTAAAACAAATTTGTTCAATACATACACTTTAAAAAAAAATACTTTCCATAAATATGTTATATATAAAACGAACTTTGAAGAGAAATATTTTTCAAAAGTATGTTTTATAACATACACGTTTAAAATATTTTTGAAACAAAAAAAAAAAATAAAGTGAATAAAGGAGGTATATTATTAATGGAGATAGGCGTATTTAACATATGCCTCCACACACACACATAGAGCCTAGAGGTATTGAAGGCCTTGCTATTTACACCTCATTTTTATTCTTCACACCCTAAATTTCTTTTGGATTTTTTGAAATATCCAAATTATCCCCGTCTCCACCTTCACCGTTATGTTTTTGCACCTTCTCACTTCTTTTTCTCATCTTCAGTTCTTCACCCCTCCTCCTCCCTCCTGGCCTTTTCCATCTCATTATGTTTCGTTCATTACTAAGACCAAATGTAGTTTTTCTTTTATTTTCTTTTCCTTTCCTCCGTTCATTTTATTATTTTACCTATCACAAGAAATATTACCAACTTTGGGCCTGGTTATCAAACAAATGGGCTAAGGCCCAAATTTGTCCAAGTGTTCTACTGTTGAAGGTGCTTTCAAGATAAAACAAAACCCAAAATGAGTTTAAAATAATGAAAACTACACTTGAACACAAGTTTGGAATGCCTTATCAATTTTTCATCTGTCTTAAATCCCCCTAAGGCCCAATTAATATTTTTCTTCTGGTCTTTATCCATTTAATCATTACTGTTCGGTCTGCCTGTAATTACTTTCCTTCCTGCTGCATCCCGTGACCGGAACAATTACTTTTCTACTATGTCTCCCAAGACACAAAAGAAAGGCCCAAAAGAATTCAAAATCAAGAAAACTACAATTGGACACAAATTTGTAATATCTTGTTGTCAATCTGTGTCTTGGATCCACCCAACAAGGGTCAATTGCATTTAATCACTACTTTTCTACCATGTCGCATACTGGCGTGGTAAAACATGAATAGTTCTCCCTTTACTGGTTGCACAATTACACTATCCAGTACATCAGCATATGAATTGACATTCAACTCTAATCCACTCTAATGGCACAATCCTTAATTTTTGTCCCATTATATACATCAATCAAATGAATGCATTACATAATCAACCACACTTATGTCCCATACAAGGCTTCCTTAAAGCCAAAGCAATAATCATCTTCCAAGGAATCATCCAAAACTCAGAAGCATTCACATCAATCACCCAATGAGTTGACTTCTGGGGATGGGAAGACCCGTTTAGCTAGCCACTGAAAGGGTCTCAAAAGTTGTGCCCTTTTCTTGCGCCAGAACCAAATAGCAGCATTGTAGTTTTCATTGCGAATCTTTCTAGTGGCTGCCCTCCAATCATACTTCTCCATCTCTAACCTTGCAGCAATTCCCATGGTTTCTCTCAACTCTTTGTCTTCCAAAAGAGGCTTTAGTTTGCTTAAACAGTCTTCAAGGTCACCAGGAGTATAAAGGTAACCAATTTTGCCATCTTGGTCTTCAGGGATTATGTCAGGGATGCCACCAGCACGTGCTCCCACCACAGGGATCCCTGATGACATGGCCTCCAAAACAACAAGGCCAAGTGTCTCTGACTCTGAAGGCATGACAAAGACATCTCCACTTGCATATGCTTGGGATAGTTCTTCCCCTCCTAACATTCCTGTGAACACTGCTGGCATGCCTTCAAACAACTTCTCTAGATCCTCCCTGTCAGTTACGAATCCATATTGTTAAAAGAAGCCAAAGATTGGGAATGATAATGATTGATCATTTGAGTAAATCTATGATATATGGTAATACGGGGACAGCCAGAGCAAAGGACATGAGGATGAGGGCATGACACAAGAAATTGGCAACATTTCAACCCTTTTCGTGATGTTAATAGCCATTACATCATTATATTGAAAGATATAAGAGTACATGAATCATTTTGGATTACACTTCTCAACAAGTATTTATTGAAGAAAAAAATAAGAGCGTTAAATCAATCAAAATTTTCCCATAAATTAATTTCTAGAAGTTCTAACTATTCCAAAAGTAGAGGTGTACAAGTTAATTTTAACTTACGGAAAAAAATTGATTTGTTCAACTCTTATTTTCTTCTACAACAAATGTTTATTGAAAAGTTTATCCAAATTGTCCTATAGTGTGTCACTCCTTTTGGTCTTTTATATAAGAAACAAATAATTAATTCATCCAAATTAATAAAAAAAAAGTTATGGTAATTATTTTTCATTAACAATTTCACAAAATTAAATTTTTCACAATAAACCAAACACACTGGGAGTACTTGATATAGATAAAGGAAAGCAAAGAAACATTAGAAAAAGTCACCTGTAGGGTCCATCTCCGATAAAGGCAATCCGTGCTTCAGGAAGCCTATCCATGAGGCTGCCAAATCATGTGTTCCAAATGTCAAGACAGGATACATATATTCAAGTTACATGCTAGATATATATTTATACATGCTATGCCATATACTACGAAGAACTGAACAAGTAACAGAAAAAGTACATTTAGAAAACATATCTTGAAAAAGTTTTAGACATCTTTCAGCTTCAGTACAATAATAACCAACAAAAAAATTTCAACAATCTTGCAGTTGATGGACTGCAAAATCATAAGTTCATGTTTGGAAATTTTTAATATGTTCTCTACCTTTTCAGAAAATCTAAACTCTTCTCAACTCCTAGCCGTCCAACATGAACTATCAAGGGCTTCTCAGGTTCACCATTGCTGTATGACACAAGATTAAGAGTAAGTTGAAAACCCATTTTATATCAAACTTTGTGCACAGGAGAATGATGAACGATCTGCACCTCAGTCTTAATCGCATTTCATGGGATTTGAATTTGGGATGGAAACTTTCAGAGTCAACACCCTTATTCCAAAGACGAATCTTGTTAGCTGGACATCAACAGGAGAATTGAGTCAGACAAAAATTTGCTGCGACAAGGGTGGGTGTATAAAGAAATGCCAATGTTCAGCTGCTCTTAAACATGTTTGGATATTCTCTAGAAACACTTCTAAGAGTAAAATAATAGAAAGAAAAAATCATCTCCATAAACTAAAATTTACTTATGTATAAACTAATTTGTAGAAGGTTTTCTTATTAGTTTTTTCAAAATCTTTTTTTTAATTTATGAAAAACTTATTTTGATTTTCCTTTCTATTTTTCTCTTTTATAAGTGCGTCTAGGGTAGTTTATACAAACTGATCCTTTATCAACTGAACCAAATGCTAAGAAATCACTTGACATGGGGTGTTTGAGTTCACCTGCTGTTGCTCTAGCTGCTTCAAGATCCCTTCCGATGGCAGCTGATGGCACCAGAGTAAGATCAGCTGCTGTATGCAGAAATTCTATACAAAAAAGAAAATTCATGTTATTTCACAAAAATATGATTCAAAGTTGGAAAAAATGAAGCAAGAGAGCAAGTACATACTTATGACCCACCACATGGGTTGCACCAGCCAGCTAAAGGTGTATCTTGGAATATATCTGAACAACAATTAAGATCAGCCACAACAACGAGTGGAATCAATACATAGTCCAGACATAATAACTTCACAAATGTGAAATACATTCAGAAAATATGAAATGCAAGTAGATTCCAGATTGGATAAATTTCTCGACAAGTACTTGTAAAAGAAGAAAATGAAGAGATAAAATGAATCAATTTTTCTATAAATTAAAATCAACTTATACACTTCAACTTTTCTATAAGTTCTTTTATCTAAAACCTAATGTGAACATGTTGATTTTGACTTGCAGAAGTTTGATTAATTAGCCTCTTATTTTCTTCTTTTATACATGTTTAATGAGAAGTTTATCCAAACTGACCTAAATAAGCAACTTACACTGGTACGTGGGTATGATATGACATGACAATTGGAACACTCAAAAGCTTTGCGATGATAAGGGCACCAAAAACCTGAAATTAAACCAGCCTCGGACTTTTAGTAAAATAAGTCTTTACAACTATATTGTTCTTTAGAATACTACAATTAATAATTGAGGTGCACTGGAATTTTAGACCAACCATTATGCCTGGCGATGATGCATGTATTATGTCCGGCTTAAACTCTGCAACCGCAGAAATTATTCTTGGACTAAGTGCTAAAGAGAGGGGTACCTTCTGATACCAGGGACAAGGGAAGCTGCATTTTGTTTAAATGAAGAGTATTAGTACGAAGCAACGGCTGTGGTATAAAGAAGTCAAATTTCAAATATACATGACAATATGAATGCCATGAGAACTTGCTACCCCGTTTCTTTGTTCTCTGTAACTGACAAAGTCAAAATATTTGAATTTTTATGATTATTAAATAAGATGTTTGAAAAAAGTAAAAACAAAACACCTAAAAGCAGTTTCAGTACTTTTCTGAGAAGCTAGAAAAAATAGCTTTTAAAAAGACTTAAAAAGAATATCCTATACCATGATAAAAGTATTTTTCTTTAGTAGTAGCATAAGAATCGACCTTGCATGACAATTTACAAATATAAACAATGACTGTGATTAAGAAACAAAAACTTTTCAAGTTTCAAGTGGCTAAAAGGCCGCAAGTTTAAGATTCAAAAACAAATTCTTTATAATACAAGTAGAGGCAGTGACGACTCAATGAGCAAAAATGAACCAACAAAACTAAAGAAGTCCAAGTTAACAACCTTCGGGATCCAATTAATTTGGCTCCATAAAACTCCTTGGGTACTCCTTCATGCGTCGTCACAACCATCACCTATACCATGCACAAATAAAGCTAACCAGTTGGTTTACAATGTTTAGGAAAATAAAAAAACAGGACATGTGTGCATAAAGAAAAAACAGAAGTAGAAAGGGTTACCTCATCTCCCATTTCACGAAGGTATTTTATAAAATTCTGGAAACGATTTTTGTATCCCGAGACATATCTGCAAAATAGATATAGCTGGAATGATAATCCTGTTTAAATTGAAGAACATGTTTCTCCTTCCACTTCCACAGCAGACACCACACCACACATCTTATAAAGGGTCACACATCAATAATACCAAGTGCAATGCAATCATCACATTGGGTAGTAATGCAGACAAAAAGTAGGAAGCATGTCAGTTTAATTTCCCATCAATATTTCCTTAAACTAATGCCTGGTCACTAACATTCATAAGCTGTAAATGCCCTTCAATTTCACATTCAAATCAAAAGAGTTGTGAACTTTTGACACGAGAAATTATTAGATAGTCCCGTGCTACCACATGTACATGTTCCCAGCTAATCTTTGCGTAGAATTTCTGAAAGAATTAATAACATTTGACTAAACTTCAAGTGAAAATTAATTGAGACTATGTAGTCCTGGACCATGTAGTAAACGAGACCCCTTATTTCTTTCTATTTCTCTTTTTATCATGTGGTATCATCTACACTTCTTTCTCTTCTATAGTTCTATGTCTTTCTCTCTCCCAGTGTCTCTAGTGTTTACTAGCAGGGAGTGTCCATGAAACATTTTTACTGATCTATTCACAAGCCGAGTCTGAGAAAAACAGCAGAAAATAGCTGAGATAGTGAGATGCACTTTTCTGATGGTGAGACTACATAAGTAATTAAGCTAATAGAAAGATTATTCCTAAACAGGCAAGACAAAGCTAGCTTAATTAAATTACAAAGCACGAGCTTTCTTTATTTATTTTAAGGATATCAAAACAAATTCAATTCCACCTGATCTACAAAACCCAATTCATCAAACACCACAAAGTCAACATTGAATCTGAACCAGACAAACAAACCGCTGTAAAAACTCAATGCTGTCCCCAACAAACTATAACATAGGCAAAAGGGGTTGCAGTGTTCAAATTTCAAAACATTCTACATTCAATGAGGATTAGAAGCCACAAACAGTGCACATTGAAGAACAGATTAAGAATCCAACTCACGCAAAAGGAGAAGGCTCAACAAAGAGAGCAATTCTACGAGGCCTAGAATTGCTTTCAGGATCAAGCAAAGAAAAATCAGGAGGACCCTCTTCCTCCTCCACCACCTCCAGCAAACTATCCTCTGCTATAGTCATGTCGGTGGCTCCAAGCACGAAACTTTTTCTCCTTTCGACACTCGTTGACCCTGGCAGAGAGCACAATCGCGCTTTTCTGCAAAAGGGTGTAATGGGCTTGGGTCCAAAGTGCTTGACACAAGCAAATCTAAGAGAGCTGCGAGGGAAGGAAGAAAAAGAAGAAGAGGGTGGTGTTGTGGGAGGTGAGAGAAAAGGAGGAGAGAGAGAGGGATTTATATAGAGAGAGGTGGTAGTGTTGTTCATGATGATTGCAAAGGCGAGAGAGAGGAGTATAATATAAAGTTACAGCGATTAATTATATGATACGATGTTGCGGGTTGTGTAGTGCAAGGAAGGAAGAGAGAGAAAGTGTGTGTTTGGAAAGAGAGGAATCTTAAACACATGGAAGGGACTCTACCAATGGATATTCTCTTTCGATGGCGGGACTCAGAGGAATCAAAAAGGAATGGGGAGCATATGCTATTGGGTCACTCTCTGACGCAATTATTGTTTCCAAGGGACGATATATGTTGCACATAATTTCTCTGTGGGAGATATTTTTAAGTCCTTTTTTAATGAGAGTTTATAATTTTTTTTAATTTATTATCTAGTTTAATTTTTATTTATCATAATTATTTATATATTTAATATTAATAATTTTATAAAAAAAATATTAATAAATAAATTTTATTAGAATATAAATTATTTATC